TGTTTGGTTTCAGATTACATTCCCTCGGCGGTGACTCAAACTGCTTGGTTTCAAAGATTGCTTTTGCCCTTTTTTGAGGACTATTCTTGGCTTGCCCTAGCCCTGAAGATTCTCCTTTTAGACCTGCCTTGCCCATCCTGTTGTGAGAAGTGCTCATGGCCTTTTGGTTTGAATTGTGTCCTTATTGGTGAACTGCGTTGGTCTATTGTTTCACTATGCCCTTGGGGAAAACTGTTCCTTGTCTTGGACCTTTTCCTTGCTCTGAGCCTTACCCTTGCTTTCTGTCTGGATTTTTGCTTTGTAGACTGGTCGGGTAATTTATGGGCTGTTGTTTGGAGGACTGAGGGTAGAGTCTGAATGGTCAGTATGGAGGATCAATTGTTTAACCCTTTTGAGGAGAAATAAAAGACTTTCTGGAGGCCTGCCTAGTCTTGCCCACCTGGGTCATAACATAGACTGAAAAATATTTATCAGCCTACAGCACTCACAGAAAAGTGAAAATAATAATGAAGCACACTCTGAGACCCAGGAAAGAGAGAATTGAAACAGAAAATGCCGTGCTTCTTATTAACTTGGAATTGTAGTAATAGCATTATTAAAACATAGAATTGATTACCCATGACTTACTGGGGTTGATAAAATTCATAGATTTTGATATAGGCGTTTATATCTTGTTTATCAAGTTCTAATTGAAAATTGCTATTTGCCAGTAAGAAACAGATACAGACCATAACTAGAATGTGACAGACACAAATGCCCAATTTGTAAACATATCTGGAATATATTTCATGGCCTTTCATTTTCATTCACAACTCCTTAACTCATATGTTCATCTTACAATGCCATCATCTACATTTGAAATAAGAAGGGAGGAGGCAATAGGCAGATGGACACAATTATAGTATCATAAATGTGTTGTTTCCATTCCTTTCTGTTTGGGTTACAAAGTAATATTGAGAGACTTCTGCTTGAGGGGAAGTAGACTGTCCCACAAGATTCTGATTTGTTCCCTCAATATTGATATCGACATGAAGGTATTGGAAAGGATGATTTCCGGTCTAGGACTAGTTCCATTAATATGCTAATGATACTTAGCTATAATTATTCTTTCTGAGAACTCAGCTAGATGGTGCTTGACCTACTCTGAATATAAAGGACTGTAAAATAAAATAAGGTGAAGCTGTGTTTAGAGCAAAGACTACACTTTTATTGATTCTAGAAGCTGAATGTCAGGATATGTGAGATGCACCTTTTCTGGATGGAACTGCATCCCTGAGGAACATCTCTGCAGTCTGTGGATTCTCCAGCTCAACACCCATATAATTTCAGTGAAAGAGATAGTCATTTATTAGACTCAGTTGATACAGCAGTGTGTCCCATCTGGGAGGAAACGGACCAGTGATTCAAGACTTGCAGTGTGTTCTTTGTCAGCCAACCCTTGAAGGTGATCTGTATGTAACTCAAAAAGCAATACTGTTAGTGGTAAGAGGATCTCATTTGAATTCCACATTACCCCTGGGTTGAAATAGCTTCATTTTTTAAGCTTTTGAATATCAATGGAACAACTTCTATGGGTCATGACACAAATATAATTAACAAATTACAGAACATATTGGATCAACTCTTTCCTTTTCCTAGCAAAATGTGCAAAGCTACAACTGGTTATGGAAAAGTCTCACATAAAGTTTTTTTTCTCTGTCTTTCTGAAACTTGATCTTTTTTTCTGAGTTGGATCTCATGCTGTATGATCCAGTCCACATCACTTCTTGACTGTGCTAGATTCAGTCCTCCCCAGCTAAACCTCTGAGCAATTTTAATAGAAGGTAATATATGTAGTTCAGATTTGAACCATGGAGCCATTGATGCTCTTTGAGTTTGGTTGTTATTGTTCAGGTTGTCTTCCAGGTCTATACACACCAGGCAAATAGCCATTGCTAGCAAATTCCTTTTGATGTGTATTTCCCATTATATGCCTGCTCATCCTCTTGTAATCCCTTTCTCTCCAATATCTCTGCTGGGAAAGATGTAAGAAACCAGGTCAGGCACAGAATAGTACTTACTAACTGACTGTGATGACTGTAATGATGAACATGTAACTTAGAGAAAGAGAGACGCTGGTTGCAAAGTTATGTTTTCAGAACAATTTTAACTTTGAATTATTTATGCATGAGGCATTTGGTAAGCAAGGTGTACTGGTACTCATTATTGTATCTTTTGAAGTGGAAAATAATTATCTTGAGATTGAAATGTTTTCCTTGAAATTGGTCAATTATCCCCGGTTTTTCTTTTAGTGTAACATATAACTATATTTATTCTAGCATATAAGTATTACAATATGATTGTATCTGACCTATAAGAAGCTTTGATCAATATCAAAAATAAGCAAAGTACAAAAATATGTAAAGAGTTATTAATTTAACTTTGTTGTACCCAAATTAAACGTGACAATGACATACCTTGGTTACAGTTGATCATGTTTAATCTCATTGATATTACAAATTCAACATGTGGTTGTTCTGGAAAAATAGTTAGTAATGATAATTTCAACAAGGTGTTGTTGCAAATATTGAGTAGAATGATACTCGTGTTATTTGCTCTGTAGTGGTTGCCATTATTTTTTCCTTTATGTACACTTTGTTACTTTGTCTGGATAGTATCATATAGGTCAAGTCCAAGCCACATAATAATGTTTTGGGAGTATAAAGTGACATTACTTCATGTGTGAATAGCTGAGTTCATTGTTGGAAGAGAAAAATGCAAATGAAATTAGTGGGCCATTTTTAAAGTGTAATAATTAAAAAAATATTCAGCAAAAAAGTTTTCAGCAATACAATTAAGAAAAACCTTTATTTAAATTTTATGTAAAATCACTGAATAAAAATGTATACATTTAAAAAGCTAAAAAATACAAACTAAAAAGAAGAAAAGAAATACTAAAATAATTTTATAAGAAAAATAATACATTACAATTTTCAATTTCACTACTCTTCTATGACACTAAAACAGAAGATCATATACAACATTAAACATGGTATTAAACCCAGTTTTAGCATATGTACAAAATAGGATAAAATTGTGTGTTATTTGTAAATATCTCCGTGTATATTTTCCATTTCCTTCTATTTTTTAATTGTACCATATCCTGATGGTACATTTTCTTGACAATTTCAAAGATTCAAGGATAAAATGACCATTGAGTATTAGATACCCAAAGTAGTCATAATAACACAGTTGGTTAAAATCTTAATTTACTTCCTCTGAACTTAATACATTTTATGTCATTTGTTGTTTTGAGAGACTGTGCTTCCAGCAATTGATTCCTGGCAATTGATTGACTGGTCCCTGTAGTGTTCTTGGTAAAGTTTTTCAGACATGATTTGCCATTACTGCCTTCCTAGATCATCCAGCTGGCTTTGCGTGTAAGGTTTCTAATCTGATGCCTTAACTACCAACCCAAACTAATTCTTGCCTTAATAATTAAATATATGGAATATATTTGACACGGGGAAAGTAGCATTTGCAGCATGCTCAAGGTTTGTAAATCTCCTAGAGGGGTGCTGATGTGTTATTCATTTATGTCTGATTATTTAGTTTTCTTGAAGATAGAAAGGCAGAAGGATCTTCCATTTGATGTAGTAAACCCTTAGTTGTTTAGCGAACTGTGAACAAATGCTATATAATTCTACTTATTTTGACAACTCTATTTGTTACATGTTCAAGCTGATAGATTTGAATAGTTTCTTGATGGTTCTTGGAACTGAAAGGCATCAAGGCAGACAATTCTTCAAAATCTTTTGGAATAGGAAAGAGAGAAGAGTCTTAGGTATTACATCTATTTTTTCAAAGGAATATTCAAGGGAATAAAATGAATGAAGGAGCTAGAGCTGTGATGGTGAACCTATGGCACATGTGGCACGCAGAGCCCTCTCTGTAGGCATGTGAGCCATCGCCCAGGTCAGCTCTACCATGGTGTACCCACACACACCCTGTTTTTGCTTTCAGGGTGTCCTGCTAGGCCCAAAACTGGCCCCAGGGGACTGCGGCGCACCCTCCATATGGTCCGCTTTTCATCCTGGGAAGCTTCAGGGAGGCCTGCTAGGCCCAAAACAGGGCATGGGGGATTGCACGTGTGCACATGGGGTCCCATGCTTGCGTGTGTCATGGGGGAGTCATGCGCACAAGCACGGGGGGCAGGGCACATTGCATTGTGGGTGAGGCCATGCACATGAGCTTGATGTCACGCACATGTGCAATTTCAGCACACGACAAAAAGGTTAGCCATCACTGAGCTACAGTGATATTGGTAGAACATTTAAAGAGAATCTGACTTAATATACTTTACACCAGTCCTGGTTAAATTGTGATTCCCTTGGGAGTTGAATGAAGCCTCCAGAGCACTGGCATGTAAATTGCAATGTTTTAACATGACAGAAGGAGAAAATAATTATATATTCAAGGAGGGCAATCATTTAAATTACAATTTAAAGTATTTTTCATTTAATAAAATATATACTGCAGTTAAATCTCACTTAACTTTTATATTAGCCCTGTCTTTTTTTAATAGGGCAGATAATATGCATTTATAGTGAAAAAGGAAATGAAGCTCGTTTCTTTGTTACTTTCTTGTGCCAGCAGGTAGCTATTATATAGTTGGGTAGACCTTAGCTGCAGCCGCTGGGTTGGCTGTTCAGATGAGTTATAATTAGTTGAATTTAGTCGGTATTATGGGCGTCGTTTTAATTGAATTTTTCTTGTGTGCTTAAATGTATTTGCTTTTGTTAGTCATTACCCTTTGTTGGAAAAGCAGAGTAGAAATTCAGTAAATTAGCAAATTGACCACCTGAGGGTAACTTTGCTTTTTAAAAGAACAAATCTCATTTAAAAAATTCAACTTAATAGTTCTCTTCAGATCCCCATAATTAAGATTAAGCTACATTATAATATTTCAAAGAGTGTTGGGTAAACAGGCTAATTTGTTTCTTCCTTGGTTTCACTTTCAGATCCCGAATTCAAGGATCTCGGGGTTTTGAAACCATTGCCAGGTCGGTATGTTCAGTTTTCCATAGCACTTTAAAACCTTCGTATTTGATCTGATTTTCTTTTTGCTTGATCTTATGTTTTGTTGTTATTCAGTTTGTGAGTTTCAAATGGGAGGATCTGAAGGAATTGTGGACTCGGTGCAGATTGGAAAAGAAGGAAAAGCTTCTGATTCTGAGGCTGTTGATTGTAAATGGTACATCCGAGCACCACCACGATCCAAGGTCAGTTCTTTTCCATTCTTTGATTTGGGGGTCACCATTTAAGCAAGTGACTACATTAATACAGGAATGTATTGTTTTCTGCAAATAACTTTTGTTTAATAAGCAGTATCTATATAACCTGTAAACTTACATTTGCTATGCGGAAAAAGTATTTATCAGTCTAAATATTTTGAGTAGTATGGTAGATTTAGAGCAATTTGGTCAATGGTGGGTTTAAAATTTTTTAGAACCTCTTCTGTAGGTGTGGCCTGCTTTGTGGGAGTGGCTTGCCGGCCATGTGACTGGGTGGGAGTGGCTTGCCAGCCATGTGACTGAGTGGGAGTGGCTTGGCAGTCATATGACTTGGCGGGCATGGCCAACTTGTAAAATGTGGTGAAACTCACTTAACAACACTCTTGCTTAG